CTCTCCCCCCCTCTCCATGTGTGTGTGCTCTCCACTAATTTATCAGTCTCTTCTCTCCCCCCCCCCCCGACTCTGGCATAGGAGCAACAAAACTGCTCCCCAGACCCTTTCTATGGGATCGGATGCCAACGAGCAGCAGAGTCTCTGAGCGCACGCAGAGGGCCTGTGAACATGCGTGAAAGAGGCAGGGGGCCTGGGAACGGGGGGGCTGCCCCCCTCTGTATCACGGGCTTCCCAGAAACATTCGGGGGGTGCTGAGTGGGGCCCGCGGTGGCTTGCAGGCCTGCCCTATATGATGCCTGTGGGGTCCGAACCTGAGGTGGCAGACCAGTAGCGAGGCCGAAGTAAAGGAGTTGACCCCCTGGGTGGGGGCCAAATCCCCCTCCATGGAAGGGAACCTGAGGAAAAGGCTCGGAAATCAATCTGCCCATCTAATAAGGCCATTCTCCAAATCTATGGGGCGGACTCATTTGGAATCGTATGCCGGTTCTGGTTGCCTCGCTTCAAGCAGGATATTGCAGGGTGGGGCAAGGTCAACCGAAATGATCAAGGGGGTAGAGACACACACACACACACCCCTTACGAAGAAAGGAGACAGAGTTTCTAATTTAGCAAAAAAGCAATAGCTGACGTGGTAATTGTTGATTGGCATGTGTCTCTCAATGGAGGGCGCCTTCCTGGGTGAAGTCAAAGGGTTGGCAGGCTGCAGTCCCTGCTGCGGTCGCTGCTGTAGTAGACCAAGAAAAAAAGCACACCAAGAACTCTGGCCAATATAAATTTCAGTAGTGGGAGTGGTCCCTACTTGCACATCCATAGTCAATCTACCCACACTTATATTACCCTTTAAAAACTTACACAACCCCTTAAAAATTAGCTGATGAAGGTGAATACATCGAAACAGGCCCCTGGCCTGGTTTCTGATCCATGATTGACTTCTGACTTCTGCTCTATGGTTGAAACTAAGACCTCCATGTCGAATCTGACTATGGACTAACGTGAACTTCTCTCTACTCATAAACACTTATCTCTGATTCTGTAGCGAATTATTGTGTTATACATATCCTTATGAGTTTGAGTTTGCAATCTCTGTTTGAGTTTGTAATCTCTATTTGAGTTTGTAATCCTTGTCAGAATACAGTGGTACCTCGGGTTAAGTACTTAATTCGTCCCAGAGGTCCGTTCTTAGCCTGAAACTGTTCTTAACCTGAAGCAGCACTTTAGTTAATGGGGCCTCCTGCTGCGCCGCTGGAGCACGATTTCTGTTCTCATCCTGAAGCAAAGTTCTTACCCTGAAGCACTATTTCTGGGTTAGCGGAGTCTGCAACCTGAAGCGTATGTAACCCGAGGTACATACTTTTGAATGGATTAGTTTTTGTTACAATTGACTATTGATGTGCGAATAGGGACCACTCCCACTACTGAAACTTACATGGCCAGAGAGCTTGGTGTGCTTTTTTCTTGGTATATTTAATAACAAGAGCTGCTGTAGTAGAGGCAGAGATGGGAGAGACATGTTTTGTTGCAGCCGGGGCAGACGAAGGCGTCTGGCCGCGCAGAAGCAACCAGGGCACCCCTCGTAATTTTAGGTTGTGAACTGCCCTGAGATCTATGGGCATATGGCAGTAAGCAAATTCAATTAATATTCATCATCATCTCTGCTCCTCCCAGCGGCCATTCCTGCTCTGGTCACTCCTACGGACGCACAAACTGAGCGTGGTGGTCCGCAAGGGATTGCCAACCTTTGTGTCCCTTTTGCAGACCTCTTCCTAAGGCAGAGTGGCAGTATAAGAGGGCAGCCCCTGTGCTGGAGATCATTAGGAAAGAAGACTGCAGAGCACAAGACTCTTAATCCCAGGGCTGTGGGTTCAAATCCCATGGTGATTGGGGGGGGGTTACAGGCGTCATGGTCTCAGCTCTAATTATTCCAAATCTGCCAATATCTTAATGCTGTTCTATAAATCTGTGGTGCAGCTGCCATTGGAGTCCCGGGTCCTCTTCTGGTCTCCTCGCCTAAAAAGGATGTTGTAGAGCTGGGAAAAGTTCAGGAAAGGGATGCCCTGGGGTGAAGGAGTGTCTCCTCTTGGAAGGAAGGTTGCAGGACTGGGGACTCCCAAGGAAGAAGAATGCTGGGAGATTCAGGTGAAATAAAGCCCTTCGTGCCGTGCATGGGACTGTGGAACTCCCTCCCACAGGAGACAAGGATTTGACAGGAACTGCTTCGAAAGAGAAGCAAATTTAGTTTCTGGAAATCGCAGGAGGGGAGAAGCATCTTGTGCCTGAATCCTCCTGGGGGGGGGGCTTCACCTGAGAGCATCTGCTCGGTTCCTCCCAGAGTCCCTTTGGCCTGAGCCCCTTCCCGTCTTAATGCGAGTCCAGCACAGCCTGGCTTTCTCAGTGCAGTCTCCCCCTCCGCCGCCAGGGGGCAGCCGTGCCCCATGAGCCGAGCTGTATATGAGGGGGCGGGGGGCGGCGTTGTTTAGTCTCCCACCTGCCACCTTCACTTCCTTCCCCCACCCTGCAAAGGAGGGTATTCCAGGTAATGCCGCCCCCGTGTCACCAGATCGCCCTCTCCCAGCCCTGCCCCATTCCTGGGTCCCAAACACCTGGAGTTTCTCTTGGCGTCCACTGGGGGGGGGCGCTTGCTTCTCTCCCCTCCTGTCCTTTTTTTGGCTATCCCCGCCGCCGCTGGAAAAAAAAAGTGCTGGTTACTTTTTTTTCATGCGTTGCGGGGGTTTGGACTAGTTCCTCTCTTCATCATCATCATCATCGCCCTCCTTCAGTCTCTCTGGGGCACGCTTCCTGCCCCACTACTCTATAACTTCTTCCTGTGCGCCCCACACCTCCCCACAACCTTTAACTGGGGCGCAACAGGTTCGAAAGAAAGTTTGGCTCTGCGCGGAGCAGCACCCAGACTGCTTCCTCTGAGCGCACGCAGCATTTTTTTGCTGCCCAGTTCACCGCAGCCTCTTTCCCAACCTCATAATTACGTCTCCCAGTTGGAAGGGAAAGTTGCTTTTTCTTTTGCAGAACAACCTTTCTCTCTCCCCCCGAAATTCCTGACATACTTCTAAACCTCCCAAGGATGGATACGGCTCCTCCCGCCTCGCCAAAACAGGCCTCGACAGGAAGCATCCCGCCTAAATCCGCAGGACCCCCACCTTTAAAAAAAATAAAATGCAAAATGGTCTTTTGGTGGCTTCCCTTTGCGCAATTTCTCTCCCTCCCCGCAGCTTGGAATCGTGGCCTGGGCTGACCCCCAGCACCCCCCCTTGCCGCTGCCTCACCGCCCCCCCCCCCGGGCTCCATCCTGGCTCATGAATGGCGCTCAGTCCCTCCCCGAGCTGCTGTTTTCACAGGCCGGCCTGCAAACCGCCGCCCGCCAGGAGGCGGCACAAAGCCGGGCTTGTTCCGCCCCATCAATGGGGGCCTTGTCCTGCCCCCTCTCACCTGGCGGGCCCGGCAGGCCACGCAGACCCTGGCAGGAGGGGGTGGGAGACGGGGAGAAGAGCGAGGGGGCGCCGGTGGGTGCAGAGTGACCCCCACCTTCCTTTGAAATCCCCCCACCCAGGAAAAAAAATATAGAAATATATTTCTCTCTAAGGAGGGAAACACCGTTCAAAGCGCAACCACGCAGCAGCAGCTGATCAGTGGGGGGGGGAGGAAATGGAAGCCCCCCCCCCATATCCTTATCTCCCCCCGCTCACCATTCCCAAAAGACGTTCGGGGGCGCAGCAAAAGCCTTGCGCCCCTTCTGAAATGCGAGCTTCCATCCAAAATATACACGCGCACCTCTGAACGCGTGCAAAGCGTGTCCCTGCATTTGCTGGGCCGCTGGCTGGCTTTGGGGATGGAAATTAAAAGACGTCTGCTTCTTGGGAGAAGAGCAATGACAAACCTAGACAGCATCTAAAAAGCAGAGACATCGCCTTGCCGACAAAGCTCCGTATAGTTAAAGCTGTGGTTTTCCCAGTAGTGATGTATGGAAGTGAGAGCTGGACCATCAAGAAAGCTGATCACTGAAGGATGGATGCTTTTGAATTCTGGTGCTGGAGGAGACTCTTGAGAGTCCCATGGACTGCAAGAAGATCAAACCTCTCCATTCTGAAGGAAACCAGCCCTGAGTGCTCACTGGAAGGACAGATCCTGAAGCTGAAGCTCCAAGACTTTGGCCACCTCATGAGAAGAGAAGACTCCCTAGAAAAGACCCTGATGTTGGGAAAGATGGAGGGCACAAGGAGAAGGGGACGACAGAGGACGAGATGGTGGGACAGTGTTCTCAAAGCTACTAACATGAGTGACCCAACTGCGGGAGGCAGTGGAAGACAGGAGGGCCTGGCGTGCTCTGGTCCGTGGGGTCACGAACAGGCGGACACCACTAAACGACTCAACAACAACAACTAGGATGGATAATATATATACGCGCGCACGCAACCGGGCTTAGCCTCTGCCCTCTGAGCATGTGCAGAGCGTGTCCACGCATTTAGGAGACCCGGGTCCCATTTAAGATCGAGTTTCCAGCCCTGATATATATATACGCGCGCGCGCAATCTGCCTCTAAACATGTGCAGAGCGTGTCGACACAACGGGGCGGGGGGGAACCGGCTGGCTTGGACAGAGTTTTGCTCTTTTAAAAATGTAGATATCAGACCCTCATCCCGTCTGCGGGGAGTGTCAGCGGCTCTCCTGGACATCTTCCCCGTATGCAAAAAAATTCTCTTTTTCAGGCGCTCCTCCGCTGAGTCCCACTTGGCTCCGGCGGCTCTGCGGCCTCTCGCTCCCACCCCGCCCGCTGCCAGGAATAGCCCGGGCGCTTGGCCGCCTCCCGAGAGGACATTCCTGGCCTCGCCATCCTGGGGGACTCCACCCCAGAGACATAAAATGGGAGGGGGGCAGGGTTACCAAAGCGTCCTGGCTCTTGCAGATGCGCCGAAGGCTCCTCTTCCAGCCAGCCACCTTCGTGGCCCTCGCTGCCTCTTGTGGCGGGGAGTTCCGCAGTCTCTATGTGCCAAGGGAGCCCCTCTTCCTTCCTTCCTTCCTTCCCACGGACGTATTACGCGCTTGTTGCATTCATGTCCCGCCGCCCTCGTTCCAGCCCCACAGCGACCCTGAGAGGTTGGTTAGGTCCCATGTCACCCAGGGGGGTTCCTGGTCTCCAAGTGCAAACTGGAACCCCTGGCCTCTAACCAATGCACCACACTGCCTCTCGAGGTGGCAGAGGAGGAGGAGGAAGTGGCTATTGGCTAGGATAGCTCAGCTCTGCCTCCTGGACGCTCTGAATCTCGGCTGCTGGAAACCCCAGGAGGAGACGGGGCTCTTGGGTTCGAATCCCCCTGGAGGGTTTCCCTTGGGGGGGGGCTCTGGTTGGCCACTGTAAGAACAGGAGGTCAGCAACCTTTTTCAGCCGTGGGCCGGTCCACCATCCCTCAGGCCATGTGGGGGGCCGGGCTATATTGGGGGGGGGGAATGAATTCCTATGCCCTACAAATGCATTTAAAATAAAAGCACACATTCTACTCATGTAAAAACACCAGGCAGGCCCCACAAATAACCCAGAGATGCATTTTAAATAAAAGGACACATTCCACTCATGTAAAAACACGATGATTCCCAGACCATCCGTGGGCCAGATTGAGAAGGTGATTGGGCTGGATCCAGCCCATGGGCCTTAGGTTGCCTACCCCTGACATAGATCGCCAGGCTGGAGTGGGAATTCGAACCCTGCTCTCCCGAATCCTTATCAGGCACTCTAACCATTGTGCCACACTGCCTCTCACATAATAATAATAATTTATTATTTATACCCAGCCCATCTGGTGGGGTTTCCCCAGCCACTCTGGGCGGCTTCAAACAGAATATTAAAAACAACACAGCATCAGAAATTAAAAACTTCCCTAAGTGCTGGGAATGTGGGCTTGGGAGAGCACAGCTGGCGAGGTTCCGGTGCTGATAATGTCAAGGTTGTGGGTTCAATTCCTGACTTTCAGGGGTTGGACTAGATGATCCTAGGGGCCCTTCCAACTCTATTAATTTACTGAATTTATATACTGCCCTATACCTGCAGGTTTTGGGGCAGTTTACAGAATAAAATCAAAATATAAAAACCACAAAATCCATACTCAAAATAAAAAAAAACCCCACATTTTAATAGGGCACTGCAATTCTGCGTGAACAGAAGTCACAGAATTGAAGCCGCCTTCTCCTCGCCAAAGGAACTCCGGCTGACTTTAGCACTGGGCAGAAGGGGGCCCTGCTATTCTCTGGCCAGTTCCCTCACTCTGGGCGGCTGTGGGGTGCCTGCCCTCTGCCCCTCTCCACCACAGCCCCACCCCAAGCTGGCCGGCCCCACAACCAGGCCTTGGGCTGCTTTGAACAGTGATCTGGTTCCCCTCCCCTCAGCGACTGCAGCTCAGAGCTACCCAGGGAGAGAAAATAGGTGGGCCCATAGAATAGATATAGATAGACGTCTCTTGGCCGGATCCAGGCAGCTCTCAAGGGCTGCAATTAGGGCCAGGCCAGGGTGGAAATTGCAGGCTGGCTGGGCAGGAATGAAGGAGCGAAGGGGCCGCGAAACGGCAAAGGCGAGTCACTGTCTACAAGTGCGCAGAGATGCGCTTCGGAATTGAGGCTGAATCCTGACAAGACAGAAGTACAGGAGGCGGGCAGGTGTGGGGGACTCCCTGGTCCTGAATGGGGTAACTGTGCCTCTGAAGGACCAGGTGCGCAGGCTGAGAGTCATTTTGGGCTCACAGCTGTCCATGGAGGCGCAGGTCAATTCTGTGTCCAGTCATACAGTCATACGTTTACTTCAGGTTGAGCATTTTCAGGTTGCGTCCCGTGGCAACCCGGACATACCAGAAAGGGTTACTTCTGGGTTTCACCGCTCGCGCATGCACAGACGCGCAAAATGACGTCATGCACAGAAGCAGTGAATAGTGACCCACGCACGTGCAGACATGGGTTGTGTTCTGCTCATGTTGCGAACGGGCCTCCGGAACAGATCCTATTTGCAACCAGAGGTACCACTGTATATTGGATATGTGATTGTGAAACATTGATTTGAAAACCAAATTAAAAAATCATATATATATGTGTGTGTGTAAAGGTAAAGGGACCCCTGACCATTAGGTCCAGTCGTGGCCGACTCTGGGGTTGCGGTGCTCATCTCGCTTTATTGGCCAAGGGAGCAGGCGTACAGCTTCCGGGTCATGTGGCAGCAGGACTAAGGCGCTTCTGGCAAACCAGAGCAGCGCACGGAAACGCCGTTTACCTTCCTGCCGCAGCGGTACCTATTTATCTACTTGCACTTTGAGGTGCTTTCGAACTGCTAGGATGGCAGGAGCAGGGACCGAGCAACGGGAGCTCACCCCGTCGCGGGGATTCGAACCACCAACCTTCCAATCGGCAAGTCCTAGGCTCTATCGTTTAACCCACAGCGCCACCCGCGTCCCTTATCTATATCTATATACACACACACACACACAAATATATATACACATAAAGGGTGTTGTAGAAATTCAGTCAATGAACCAAAATACCCCTGGGTCTCTCTTGCATGCGGTCAGAGATGGACTCCGGGGCCCGATATGCAGAACCAGATTGACTTGCCACCATGCAGAGTCCTCAGGGCCCAACCGCCCCCAAATGTGCCCCATTGGCACCTCCGTTCCGTTCTTCGCATCCCACATGCTGCCCCCCTCCCAGCTGAGCTGCTCCTTGCGCTTCCCGCAGAGAGAGGAGGCCGAGAGGCTAATTACAGGGACCCTGATTATAGTGCCATTTTTAGGAGCTGGCCAGGGAAGCCACCGCGAGGGAGCCACGCCCAGCCTGCCCAGAGATGGCTGCCCTGGGCAAAAGCGGTGGTCAAGGGCAGGGCAGGGCTCCTGTGCCAGGCGGCACCGTGCAACCCGGGCGCTCCTGCCTGGCAGATGTGGCGGTGTGACTGAGTTGGGCAAGGAGAAGGCCCTGGGAGACCATCGGCCTGAGACATTCCCTGAGACCCACAGGCTCACCTGGGGGAATACAGTCCCTGGCACTGGATGGAGTGGTGGCTCCCAAACGGGCACCTCCTGCTCTGTGGCAGGTCCTTTGTGAAGAGTCATACGATGGTTGGAGTTGGGACCCCCCAAGGTCATCTAGTCCAACCCCTTGCAATGCAGGAATCACCACTAAAGTATCCATTTATGAAAGATTTAGAAAACTTATTGATTAGAGTATTTGTGTGGGATCGTACAGGGAAAATACGGAATAACAGATACAACCTTGCTTAAAATGTATATAGGAAGTGCAGTGTAAGCCATGGAAGTCGATCAATGAAATTTTATTATTATTTTCATATTGAGATATTTGTAGAATAAACTTGGAAGAAATTCTTCCAACTTTTCTTCTTCTTTTCTCTTTATTTTTTTCCTTTTCTTCTTTTCTCTCTCTTTTATTCCTTTTTTCATACATATGTGTTCATTTGAAATATGTATGTATGCATTTGCAATATTTTGCTTATATTTTGTAACAATTATGTTTAAAAAAAAAAAAATTGAGTATCCATGACAGATGGCCGCCCAACCTCTGCTTAAGAACCTCCAAGGATGGAAGAGCTCTTGCCACAGTGGAACAGCTCTTGCCACCAGAAAGTTCTTCCTGATGTTTAGTCAGATATATCTCCAGGTAAGAGGAGGTAGGAGAGCCATCTTCCCATCTCTTGAGGGCTACCCCAGGAAAGACAGAGCAAGCTGGTTTCCTCCTGTTCTGGAGGGTAGGACTCGAACCCGTGGCTTCAAGGGCCAAGAAAGGAGATTGCGACTCAACATCAGGAAGGACTTTCTGCCAGGAAGAGCTTTTGGATGGTGGGACAGCCTCCCTCCTTCCTTGGAGGCTTTTAAGTAGAGGTTGGGTGGATTTCTGTCCGAGATCATTTGCTGCGTTTCCTGCATCACAGCGGGTTGGAGTAGATGACCCTGGGACCCCTTCCAATTCTATGATTCCATTTTGTGCTTTGCTTGTTGTTGTTTAGTCGTGTCCGACTCTTCGTGACTCCATGGACCAGAGCACGCCAGGCCCTCCTGTCTTCCACTGCCTCCTGCAGTTTGGTCAAACTCATGCTGGTAGCTTCGAGAACACTGTCCAACCATCTCATCCTCTGTCATCCCCTTCTCCTTCCCAGCATCAGGGTCTTTTCCAGGGAGTCTTCTCTTCTCATGAGGTGGCCAGAGTCTTGGAGCCTCAGCTTCAGGATCTGTCCTTCCAGTGAGCACTCAGGGCTGATTTCCTTAAGAATGGAGAGGTTTGATCTTCTTGCAGTCCATGGGACTCTCAAGAGTCTCCTCCAGCACCATAATTCAAAAGCATCAATTCTTCGGCGATCAGCCTTCTTTATGGTCCAGCTCTTACTTCCATACATTACTACTAGGAAAACCATGGCTTTAACTATACGGACCTTTGTCGGCAAGGTGATGTCTCTGCTTTTTAAGATGCTGTCTGATTATTACAAATCTAATAAATAGCAAATAAAATAAAAGCCCATCGCAGACTCTCGAGGGAGCCTAAATGAAGCCGGAGAGAAAAAGCATAGAATTGTCAAGGTGGGAGGGACCCCCCCCCCAGGAACCACTGCTAACAGCTCAGAGTCAGGGAGCCCGGAGGTTGCCCAACTCCAGCATTTGTGGACTACAACTCCCATCAGGCCCTGCAGTTCCTGGGGGCTGATGGGAGTTGTAGTCCAAAAACGCCTGGAAGGGGCTGCCAGGTCGACAGTCCTGCCTGGACACCCGGGCCGGCTTGGTGCATTCCCAGGCCAGCTGCAAGTGAGAGCCCAGAGGCTGCAGAGGGAACCAGCTGTGCCCACAAGGGAGGAGGTCCTGTGTTCGAATCCCAGCAGCTCCAGGAAAAGGATCTCAGGAGGTTGGGGCTGGGAGGCGACCTCACTCTGCCCAGGGCCCCGAGGGAATGCTGCTGGTCTGTAGAGAAAGACAGGAGCCAGCGGGTGTGAGGCATGAGCAATAAGGGCACCCCGGGGCATGTGCAGAGTGCTTTCTCCAAAGCAATGACACACACAAACACACAATCACGCATATGAAAATATCAAGTCTGTGCCCAATAAAGGTAAAAGAATGACGCGCAAAGTTATTTTAAACCATGTTTAATGATAAATCCAGCCGACCAGAGAGCCTTCCTACCAGAGGCGGCGTTTGAAGCTGGCAAGATAGACAGGGAGGGGGCGCCATGACAGAGATTTATAAACTGATGCAGAGGTCCTTTTTTGGGGGGGTGACCCCTGGGAGTCCAGGGGGTCCCAGAGGGGAGGGGACAGGCCAGGCTTAGGATTGGTGGGGGTTCCTGCTGCTGGCCAACATTGCCCGCCTTTGATATCGGCAGGCCGCGGAGAAATCCAACCGGTGGAGCTTCATGGAACACCTGGCCGGCTCCGAGCGGTCTGTGGCGGGAGGGAGTGGCCGCGCCGTCCGGGGCTGGCGGCCGGGGCGTGTCGGGGGCCGTCCAGGCGGCCCGGAGGCAGGGCTGGAGGGGGAGCCAGGCTGCCTGGGGCTGCGGCGGGGTCGGGGCTGGAGCGAGAGAGCGGCCGCGCCTCCCTTTCCCTCAGCCAGACGGCGCAGAGGACCGACGGAGAGAGCCGCCCGCCGCCGGCCTTGCCTCCCTGCCTGCCTGCCTTCCTCCCGCGCCCGCCCCGTCCGCATGGGCCGCCGCTGACCGTCGCCCCTCGCCCGCCCGTCCGCCCGCTCGCCATGGAGGTGGCGCGGCTGCTCCTGCTGCTGCTGCCCTGCCTGGCCGCCCGAGCAGGTAAGAGCGCGCCGAACGCACTGTCCGAACTGGCACTTCGGAGTGGCGAGTGCGGCGCGCTTTCCAGCCCGCGCCGAAGGTCTCTTGCGCCGGCTGGGGGGCCCCGTCGAGGAAGAAGGAGTCAGTTTTCTTCTTCCAAAATTGGGGGCGCCCTCTTCTTTGGACAGAGTGGGGGGTCGGTGCTTAAAGTCCAGGGGGTTGCAATTTGGATGGATGTGAATTGGGGAGACCGCGCCGTCTAGGATGGAGGTCACGATTCTGACACAGCAGAAGACCCCGGCTGGGGGGACTTGGCGCTGACGGTTCTTCTGGAGACCCCTCTTGGAATTAGGGTGTGTGTGTGTGTTGGGGTTCCCCACGGAATGATAGCGGGCAGGTGAGGATAGCAGCCAGGAGCCCAGGTTGATGGGCGCACGGAGACCTCCTGTTGGAAACGGTGGCCGGTGACTCTGTGGCGGTGAAAAGGGGCGATATGTTGGGGTCCCCCCGCCAAGGAGGGGGTGATGGAGGGCAGGTGAGGCGCCGCAGCAGGACCAAACTCCCCACTGCCGGATTCAAGGGAGTTTTTTGCGCTCGGAGCTCCGGCGCCAAGGGCGTTTGCAGGTGTCGCTGCAGCCGCGCACCGGGAGGCTCTTGCGGGGCTGGAAGTTTAACAGGCTGCCCGGACGTGGAAGGGGGCAGTTGGGGGGGGCCTTTAACTGCAGAGGAGGTTGCCCAGGTTTTGGGGAGCTGCAAGATGTTCCTGGGGGGCGCAAGAGGTCCCTTTACCTGGCGTACAGCGAGCCTGCGGGAGGAAGCGCTGGTGTGACTTGGGGGGACACGCTCCGCGTCTGTCACTCATCCCATCTCTGCCCCCCCTAATTTATGCAGCTCGCCCCGCGCCCACCAGGTGGCAGTGCCCCCCCCCCAGCGCCACGTGGTGATCTGGCTCCGCTGCTCCGTCTATCCTCCCACCCCCCAAAAAAGGTGGCCCTAGAGGTATGGGCTGTCGTCGGGTGAACATTTCATGAAGCCCCATCTGGCCATAAACAATTACCTTTCGGGAACGGGGTTTGGGTGGGTGACCTGCGCCATTTTCATTGCCCCCCAAAACCTGTGGAGTCTATTTAATATGTTTATTTCTCCCCCTTTCCCAAAAACCCTGCCTGGAAAGAGATATGGGGAGGCTCGCCTCCGAAGTGCGTATCCGAAATCTCAGCGCTGGAGAAGCTCCGAGTTAGTCTGAGGGTCCCCGCTGATTTTTTTGGGGGGGGGCTGATGCTGAAATGTGCCTGTATGGAGGGTACCCCCTTTTGCTATTGCGGAAGGAGAGCCCTTAAGCCTTCGGATTTTTTGGGGGGGGCTGTCAGTTCCTTTCCCCCCCTAATGCAGCTCTCCCCTTCCCCCCTTGTGTTTTTGGGGGGTGTCAGTCCCCTTTCCCTTCCGCAGCGCTCCCTTCAGTCTTGAGTTTTGGGAAGCAGTCACCTTTTGCTGTTGCGGGGGGGGGGTGTCCTCCAGCATTGGCTTGGGGGGTGTCCGTCTCCTTTGGCTACTGCGCAGGAGCGTGGGGATTTTTTTGGGGGGGGTCTCCCAAGACCAGTTTGGAGAAGAGGCGAGGGGGTCTTTCTACAGCGGGGGGGGGGGGGTCTTTGCGGACGCCGCTGTCTCGCTGCTGCTGCTCCTCCTCCGCTGCTGCTGCCCGGTCTACCTCGCCCCCCCCCCCGCTCTGCCCAGACAGGGCGGCCTTTGTGCGCCCGAACAGTGAGCGAGTGTGCGCGGCCGCCCGCCCGGGCGGAGGTTGTTTGCCTTTGGGCGGCGGCCCCCGAAGCAGCTCCTTGGCCGCCGAGACCCCCCCCTCCGCTCCCCACACCCCCGCAGGGCGAGGAGGCGCTTGCAGGGGCACCCCTGACGGATTTATCCCCCGCCTTCTGCACATTCTGCCCATCCCTGGGAACAGGCAGGCAGGAGACCAACCGGGGCAGCCGTCCCGCAAAACGGTCGGGGGGGGGGTGTTGCCGTACGCCACCGGGCGGGTTTCTGCCTGCTTCCTAGGCGTCAGAGCTGCCTTTGAAAGGCACCATGAGAAGAAGGAAAAGGGAAGATGGGAGGGTTTGGACGACTGCTCCCCCCCAAAAAAACCCATAAGTGGGTCCTCACCACTTTTCGAGGAATTTCTCCCTCTCCTGCGCGTTCGTCCCGCCCAGGTTGAGGAGAACAGACAGGCGGGAGATCAACCGGTGCAGTCCCAGGTGTGGGGATGCCCGCAGCACCTGCCGGACTTATGTCTGTTTCTAATGCAGAAGAGCTGCCTTTTAAAGCGACCCCCCCTCTGCACCAAAGCAGCGACTTTTCCTGCTTTCCCTCACTTAAATTGGGGGCGGGCTGCAGTGGGGCTGTGCGATGCACCCCCTTTCTAACAGGTGCCCTGCTGCGTCCCTTACCTTCCTCCCTCCTCAATAAGTATTTCTTCTGAGGAGGGGGGGCAAGGGGGTGTTGTTGCCATCGGGCTTGGTCCCTGGGAGCAAAGGAGAGCTGGGCTGCTGGCTCCCCCTTGCGGGAGGCGGCCCCAGAGAGAGGCTGGTCAGCTCCTTCTTTGAGGAGGGTCTTGCTTCACCGCTTGACCTCCAGGGACCCTTCTGAACTCAGAGGAGCCAAGGATGCACTGGAGGTCTCCCGGGCAGCTACCTGCAGGGGGCGCACTAGCGCTGGCTTTCCTGGGCGCGCGCGGGAGCAGCTGGCCGGCAAGGCCCTTCTTGCTCCTGGGATGCCATGAGCAACCTCTGGAACTCATTGCCGCATGATTTCATCACTGTCAACCACAATCACGTAGGAGCTGCTCAACGGCGGCTTTTCTTTTTAAACGGGGGTTGGGCTGGATGACCCCTGGTGGTCCCAATTCCACAATTGCGTTGTGCTGCAATGGGGCTTTCAGGAAATAATAGATCCTGGTCTGGGCAGTTCAGGGGCTCTAAAAGCCCCCCCCCCAGCCTACAGGGACCCAGGGGGATTTGAGAGCCACAGATCCCATTTTTGTTGAGTTTCAGGGAGGGGAAAGGTTTGGACAGCTGGCAAAGAGAACAGTCTAAGCCGGGTTGTTGATGCCAAAATGCAAATTTGCCCCCAACGCTTAGCAAAGGATGCGTGGAAGAGACAGGCAGGAAAATATGTCCCGATTCCAAAAAGAGCTCGGGATGAGCTGTGTCAAGAGAGGGTTGGGTTGCCATGTTTTCTTCCGGGCAGAGCTCCTGTGCATTTAGTAGCTGTCGCAGCAGAACTTTCCCTCCTGGCCAAGGGGGTGGGTGGGAGCTGCACCTGTTGGTCTCCTGCCTGTCACACGGATGTTTTTATGGGGATAAACCTAGTGATAGAATCAGAGTGTAGGGGGGACTTCACCTGTTGGGTTTATGCCTCGCAGGCGACTCCAGAAATAGGTGGCTCATCTTTCTGCCAAGCTTGTTTGCAAGCAGAAGACCCACCGACCTCCTTTTCGACAGCCACCTGAAAACTCTGCCGTACCCATTTGATGGAATGGCACCATCGAGGCCCTAGATGTCCTGCGTTGAAATCTGGACTGAGTTTCCCCACAGGAGGCCTGAAAACCCACCATTTTGGCCCTATAGTGGGGGGCAAAGCACTCCACCCATATATATACCCTTGGGATCCCTTAACCTCTCTCCCTCATGAGACGGAGGAGCAGCTAAATGAGAGGCAAAACTCTGAAAGGCTTTCCTGGTTGAATGCCTGCCTGCAATGGGGAGACTGGCAGGAAAATCTTCATACATTCCTGTGGTTGGACATTAGCACGCCCTTACTCCCAGGAAGCTTGCAGCCCAGGCCTCACCAGAGAGTTTAAAAAACAGCTAATTGAAAACTAGACAAATATATGAAAAACACCAGGTCAGCCATCTCTCAGTGGGGACGTGCAGACTTCGGAGTCGACACAGAGCTCTTTGTCAGGAAGGACAGTGGAAGGCCTTTCCCTCCAGAGCCAGAGCCAAGCTGCTTGCAAGAGGAAATGCGCGCAGACGGAGACAATGACATCAGGGGGGAAAAACACATTTCCACCTCACTGAGCTGTCTTCTGCTGGCTCCAGGTCTCAGCCATGTCCCTGACAAAGAGCTCTGTGTGACTCCACAAACTTGCGCTTGTTGTGAGTCATGAAGGATGCAACGCCCAGCCAGAGCAATCCAGCCCAGTTCAGATCACAGAACTGCAGATTTGGGAGGGGCGCCAAGGGTCATCTAGTCTCACCCGCATCCAATCTGTGTCCGAGGCCAGCTGGGCACAGCAGAAGGGTGTCTACAAGTAGGCATCCAAACTCAGCGAGAGGCGTGAGCTTGCTTTTGCTACGTAATCTCATTTATTTTCGGTCGAGTTTGAGGCAAACTCCCAACTCCACGTTTTCCAGAGTTGAAAATCCCCGTTCACACAACAATATGTCGTGGAGAACTGTAGAATATTAATAGCCAGTGCTCTCGTTTTGAGAAGATCTACCCATACTCTGCAAATTTAAAAAACCAGACGATACGATGCCATTCAGTTTAAATGTTTCTTTGATTGCCCTTGGGTCTCCCTGCCACACTTGCCATCACCTCCTGGCAGCACCACCGGCCTCACCCCGTCGGAAAGCCAGGCCAAGTGTCTCTGCAGGAACCAGAGTTGCCTCAAGGTTGCCTTGGCCCGGCAGGCTGGCCCAGGAAGAGCGGTCCTGCAGGCCATTTCCATCAAAGGAAGGTCTCAGATGGTGCCCTAGGAGTGGCCAGAGAGAAGTTCGCTTCCCTTTCCTCATATTGCAACTTGGAGGGGAGAAAAGGAGGAGGACATTTGGTTTGCTCTTAGAATGTTGCATAATGTTAAAGGGGTTAAAAGGCTGTGAGTGAGGCGGCTGCGACTCTCCAGAAGGGACCCTGCACTTCTGAACCTTAAACAGATCAGAACTGCAATACCTCAAGGACCGCCTCTTCCCTACCTGGACCCTGAGTTCATCACCCGAGGTCCTCCTTTGTGTGCCTCCTCCTCG